AACTCATGAAGCATTTTGGCTCAGTCCCACCAGATACTCGACCACCTCTGCTTGTGGTACCTGTAAGTGGATCATTTACTGTAATGTCTAAATTTACTTTTTCTATATTATTATATTATTATAATCCATCATTTTATATAGCCAAATAAAGCCAAAAGTCAAAGTTTCAGGTCAATAAATTGAACAGGAGAAAGATACTATAATCACTATTCTACTTAAATTTGAAAGCAGATTTTACCTTAAATGTAGATGGCAAGTACGGAAGAGTCACACATAAATTTCCAGTGTGGTTTGCATGGCTGTCTTGCTGCGCCTTGTTTTGTTTTGCATACACGTAATTTGGCAAGAGAGTCCAGTAGGCTCTGTATCATTTTGTCATTTTGTGACATAGATTTAATCTTTTTACTTAAACAATAACGATGTGTGTTAGAGTATAAATTTATGGCACTTATTCTATTGGTCTCTTCATGCATTCCACACACTTAGATCATTACCAGCATAGTGAACTATTAACTTTCATTGATCTAGTGTCCATTAGTTAAAAAAATAATTTAATTGATTCGATTTAATCTTTTGAACAGTATGACAATTAAAAACACTGTATGTACAATTGAACCAAACCATACTTGCCTACATACATACCATACTAATCATTGCTTCCTGAAAACAAACAACCCATTTCAGTCACCATCTTGAAATTCCCATGATGCCTCAGTGCCTCCTTTATCAGCCTGCATACCTCTGGGTAATTACCACTCACATTTAAGGACCCGGGTGTTTGTGTCCTTATAACCTCCTATTTTAAGTGAAGGCCGGGGCAGGTCCACCTTAACTGCTGTGTTCATTAAAGTAGCACTGAAGCACAGAGTGGGCAAAGGCTGAAGTGGGCGGAGTTCGTCAGGTGAAATTATCCCCCTGGACTCATAGTTTTTCCTCTCCGCTGGGTTGCTAACACTACAGGCTCAGATTACACCTAATCTTTTACCGAAGATATTGGGTTTCTCCTGGGTGGATATCACATATGCACAGATGAGATGAGAGGAAGGCCCAGTGTTGGATTACTGTGATTGTTTGGGTTTTTTAGATATTTTATGGATTACTATTATTCTCACAAGGCGTTGGTTCAGTAAGGACAGAGGCCACAGGTGTTTTTGTGCTTGGAGATCCCAGAGGAGGAGGATGGAAGTGAGGTTCAAAGATCATGTGGTGAGTGCACCTGTTGTAGAAAAATGTGGGAAAATATAATATCATATTGTATTGTCAAAAGTCTCACAATAATATCATGAGGTGTCATAATATATCAAAATTTAAGTTCCTCTGCTTAAATGCATTGTTTCATAGTAGTACTAGGTAATAAACATCGGAAACTACATATCCCATGATTCATTTCAGAGCAGACAACATAATGAAATATGTTTTTTACTAGAATTCTTTAGATTATGATGGTAATAATTCACACCAAATTCTTGTCAGAGTTTTTTTTTTTTTTTTAAAGCATCCTATCTAAAATTATATCAGCCTTTCCAAAATATTGCAATAAATATCGTACTGTATCAAAAGATTTGGATATTGTTACATCCCTTGTATCAATTATTATCAATCATAAGGGTTATATTGTAAGACTACATTTATTTGTCTCTCTATGTGAGATTTCAAGGATGCAACACAAAGTACAAGAACAGCAGTGTAATTAAAAACTTTCAAAATAAATATACAAAATAGAAGAGGTCAAAAAAGTCCCATTGAGAATCTTCTTGAATCTAAGACAAACTGTAAAATACTATCAGCTCTTTTTTTGTAGAAATATTAGTGAATATAATGAAGTCTTTAAAATAAATTTCCTTTTAAGTAGATCTTGTGCCTGCCTGTAGGTGTAATTTTATGTAAGATTAACTACTTAGAAAGGCAATTGCCTAAGCTAAGCCTAAACTAATGTTTTTACAGTTATCAGTTACAGTTGATGTTTTAACATAAATCTCAGTGTTGTCTCCATATTATTTCGGTCAAAACATGAGCCCTGCAGCTGAAGTCTTGCTTTTATTTGAATAAGCAGGTCAGTCTGTGTTTCCTCTGGTTCATCATTAACTCGGACTCCTTCTGTTCACAAATGTTATAGGTGCTGTAATAAAGTAACTTGATAAAGCAAAACAGTAAATGTATAAATAATATATCAGGCTAAATAAGTATCAGTCTAGTATTTTTGCTAGATTTGGTTCAGTCCCAAATTTGACATTATATGCACTTAAAATTTACTTAAAAACTTAACATAAAATGTTTACACTTACTACACTATTACCTGGACCTGTCCTGCAGCATGTAACAAAGTCCTCCCAGCTAGTATTTTGTCAAATACCTTATACAGTGTGTGTGGGTGTGACAACAAGTTTGAATGTTGGCGGTGACTTCATTTCTGCCTACAGTAATCCATGAGCTAGCACAGACATTACGTGGCCTAAATATTCCAGTTTCTAGTTTAGATAAGCAAAGATTCTTCATCAGCGATTGGCCCAGCGGCTCCACCTGCTTAGACTATGAATTCCTCTTCACTACACTGTCAGCCTGCATTTCTGACATACATTTTAAATACATAGTTGGCTAAGAAGAGGCTACAGTTATAGTTTTGTAGAAATTTGAACAGTTTTACATTTGGCTGTATTGAAGTATGTTTTTCAGTGCACACTGTAATTTGCCAGGCATTATCAGATTATTACTTGTATAAATAAGTCAGACTTTCTTGTCTCTGTGTGTCATTTAATTATTTATTATATTAGTTTTCTTAACCTTTTTTTCTTATTTATGTAACAATAATCCTCCAAACCTATTTTGCCTCATTTGAACAAAGATAAAGTCTTTGCTTATTTTACATTTCTACTTTACCCAGTTGTCTCTGAGGGGCCCTCTCTGTGTGTGACTGTGACTTCCCTCAGGTGCAGTTTTATTATTGCTACCACAGGGATATGGGCCCCTCCCCCAAACATGTAGCCCCTCCCCCCACACCGGTCAGGCAGGACAGGTGAGAGCATGTACTACAGGTTAGGAGTACACATATTTTAAACCTTGCATTAAGAGCCACCATCCTCCTTGTAAGCAGATGTATGCACTATAGTAGTCCGCTTTTTCATTATTTGTGGGATTTTACTAATTTGACTTTCTCTTTTCAGAAACCAGGCATGGAGGAGCTGACGATATGGGAACAACATACAATAACATTATCCAAGGTAAGTCTACACTCAAATATTTCATTGATTTTGCAGTAGGTGTTGCACAGGTGATGGGCTAGACTCGGCATAGACCCGTGCTTAGTCCTGACAAACGATCCTAAGACAAGACCTCTTTCAGTTTTGGTCCAGCTGGTTTGATTTTAGTTTTGATCATTTAGTCCAGCTTTAGTTTGCAAATGAATGTTGATTTTGTAAATAATAATCAGGTTTGGTTGGTAAGTTGCTCTTTCTTTAGTGTTGCACATTTTAGATAACAAAGCTAGACGCTTGCCAAATATACAAATGCCATATTATAAATATACAAATGGAAAATTAATTAAAGCCTCCCACTTAATTTGGCAGTTTCATTCATGTACAAATGCTATTTAATGATTGATTAATTTCATTCCTGATCTGAGGCATAGCTTGATACAATACAGGATTGTTTATTGTTCTCTGGGGCTATTGTCAAAGTCTTGGTGCTTGTTTGGTTCAGGACTTCTCTGTTTCAGTGCAGTTTGTGGGAGGAATGTGCAGGGACACACCCTTCACCTCTCTGCTGTCCTGCCACATACTCTTCTCTATGGAATGTGCTCTATCTATGTCACTGTCACCAATACACTAGTACTGCCAATACTGCTTACTACAGGGATGTAAGATTATAAACATATTAAAATTATACAATTTGGATCAGCAGATAGAAATAATCTGTTCATTACTCATGTGTTCCTATCCAGCATTGCATTATTTGTTTTATTTACTTATATATATATTTTTTTTCCATTAAAGTTTATTGGAGACAAAAGGAACAATATATATCATACATTGACACAGCATTTCAATTATAGTCCTTTCTCCTTTTTTTTAAAGTAAATAAAGTCATTGTATTTACATTAGAGAATTTATCAAGCTTGAACAAAAGGAAAAAAGCTTGATAATATTAAAACTAATTATAACAAAACAAAAAAATAAAATAAAATAAAACCATAACAATAATAATAAACAAAATAATATATCTCTGCATATACATGTACATACACCCAGACACATAAACAAACACATACATATATACATATACATACACACACACACATACATATATATATGTATATATACTTACACATACATGCATACACACATGCACACATATACACATACACGGTCAAAAATAAAAATACAATGGCTTCATAGAGTCATACTCAATTAAAGTCGGATCTAAATGGGGCAACAAACATTCTCCAAGTTTTCCAGTAATTGTCAAATTTGTCAAAGTCAAGTCTCATATTAAATATCAGTTTTTCCATTACATAAATGGTGTGAACAACATTTATCCAATCTTCAATGCTCGGAACTTTATCACTAAGCTATTTACTTATATTTCATTTGTATGGGAAATACTTGATGCTTTATTTCTTAATTGTACACATAAAATCAAATTATGACCTTTATACATTATCACATCTCTATTTCATAACTGTTTATCTCCCTGACTGTTTCTGTTTGGTTCCTTCATTGTTAATTTGATCATATTTTGAATAGTCTTATTGTTACTTGTACTAGGATCCCAAAGTGGGATTTGGTTTCGCCCTGTCAGGAGGGAAGGACAAGCCTCACCCGGACAGCGGCGAAACAGCAGTGGTGATCTCAGATGTGCTGCCAAACGGACCAGCCATGGGACGACTCTTGTAAGTGTTTGCATCTCACAAACAGATGATGGATGAAGATAAAAGTCTGCACATCACTTAAACATATACCCTTGTGTACTTTCCAGCACCAAGGATCAGGTGGTCATGGTCAATGGAGTGTCAATGGAGAACGTCCACTCCAACTACACAATTCAAATTCTCAAGACGTGTGGAAAGACAGCAAACATTGTGAGTACAGACAAACCTATGAGACTACAGCCAGACATTAAATTATGATACATGACATACTTTTCTCCTCCCCCAGACGGTAAAGCGCCCTAGAAAGATCCAGATCCCCGCCACTACCACCAGACCAAGCAGATCTGCATCTCACTCCAACCTGCTGGATAACGACACCGCCCGGAGGCCACGCAGGTACTCTGATGGCAGCGACAACCGCGAGTACGACCGGCAGCGGTCTAGAGCACGCAGCTCCTCCCCTGACCGCAACGGACACACACTACCCCTCATGTCCTCTGGATACAAGAGACTGCCCCATGGAGTCACAGAGAAGCCCATCAGGACAACTCTGGTCAAGAAGAGGATTACAGACGGTGAGGAAATGAACTCAAAGTAAGATGGTGATTTAACCATTTTGTCGAATATAATGTTATGTTGCATCTTTAGAGTATGGACTGAAGTTGGGAAGTCAGATTTTCATCAAGCACATGACAGAAACTGGACTAGCTGCAAAGGAGGGCACTCTGCAGGAGGGAGACCTTATTCTCAAAGTAAATATCGATACTGTTAAAGAGAAAATTGCCATATAACAATGGTCTGAAATATTTAAGTTTATGCAAAGTAGTGCTTGTGTGTGCTTCTTTTAATGGCACGTTTACCACAATGTGTCTGTTTTTATTATTTTTCAGATTAATGGCATGGTGACAGAAAACCTATCGTTACTGGAGACAAAGCACCTGGTGGAGAAGAGCAGAGGTAAACTCACCATGACTGTGCTCAGAGACGACCGCAAGTTCCTGGTCAGTATCCCGGAGGTGGTGGACAGCGCCCCCAACAGCGAAGACGAGCGTAAGCGGGAGAGCAGCTCTGAACTTGAGGGTAAAGGCTGTAATTAAATTATGTACCTAGAATGTGCCTTTTTAGGTACAGAGTTTTTCATATTGCCTATTGAACAAATTTAAGATTGTAATACTCTGTTTTATTTGTCAGACATTTCAGACCTGGATGATGACATACCCACACACAGAACACGTCAGCCCGCGAGAGAGAAACGCACTCGCAGGTAACACTCCTCTTACTGTCTCAGCATTCATTAAAATCAAACCTGAATCACCAGTATCACAGAGGTTTCATTTTCAAGATATGGACATTCCTTTGGCCTTACATTGCAAATGAAGGACACCACAATACTATTGACTGACTTTTTAGGATAAAGCAAAAAATAATTGATTCGATTTTATGCCTTGTCTCAGGATTCGAGCTGAACAACCAGTAGCACTGGCTCGCTCTCGGGACGCCTCACCAGTGCGCTCCACTTTACCCCGACCCCCACTGAAAACCTATGCCCCTCGCAGACGTAAGACTGAAATAATTTTAACAGTTACGCACAATGTTAAAACATGACTGCTATACTTATAATCATTTTTTTTGTCCAGCTCCATCTGAATCTGAGTCAGACCGTAGTGCATCTCCACCGCCAAGAAGACATACCCCAGATTTGAGGGACTCCAATAAATACAAGTAAGAATACACAGCAACAATTTTTATTTTTTATATAGGCATTCACTTTTCTGTTTAATTAATTCTAATGTAATTGTTTTTGTGATTCCCAGGAGCTTATCTGGGTTGTCGACATTGCCCAACCCTAAATCCTCTCCTCTGGCCCCCTCCTGGAGCGTAGACCGCCCCTCCTCCACCTCATCTCGACCCCGTAAACCTGTGTCTGAGTCCGACTCGGACCGCAGCCCCTCCCCTCCTCCCACCAGACTGAGCTCCACACTGGATAAATACAAGTAATCTCACCATGTCAAACTAGTGCAAATTTACACGTAAATGCAATAGTAATTATACCGCCTTGGTTTTCCCCTTTCCTCTGCATCTTCTCACAAATGTATTTTCTATGACTCCTCTGTTCTCTGTTCTTCTTTAGTTACTTTTGTCCTGTTGCCGATTGTCTTCTTTTCTTTTTCTTCCAGACCTCTTCCAGATCTGACCTACGCAGGAATGAAATCATCACCCATCCCTGTCCGAAATGAGACCTATCGGAGGGTCAACTCCCCTGTCAGAGCCCCTCCCCCAGGTTGGTGTTCTCTAAAAACAGCACTGTTCAAATATATCCTGGATTCATTGTCACTGTATTTGCATAGTTTGTTTTAGCTGCTGAACAGGTTAGTAATGTTTAATCAAGTTAGTGTTTTTGTCCAAAAATGTTAGGATAAAATTAGAAAAGAATTACATTTAGCTGTCTGATTTCAGTGAGTAATCATTCTGAAAAAGGAAACTGAAACTGTTGTATTACACAAACTACTACAGCAAGGCCACACACCTAACATGATATTTCTGTAACTGATAATGTGAACCATCTTAATACATATTTTTTGTACTCAAGCTATTTTTTAGATTGTATTGTAAAAGCAGCTCTCAAAGTGACAAAAGGAGACTGCTATATGCTGTTTGTATGTAGTATATATAAATAAAGATCGCTCTGTTCTTAAGTCGTGCATATTAACAGCCTGCAGAAAGGTTTATGAGAGTTACAAGTTAGGTTGTTTTAAATATAGGCTCCTCCTTTCATGGCTTAAAAATCAAGTAATCCAGCTTTAACAGGGAATTTTTATTGTAGATACTAACAGATCTGCTTTGTTTTTCTCGCAGACTCTGGGTCGGACTCTGAAGAAAGCGTCGGCCGTCCTCAAAGGCAGAGCACCACGTACAGCCAGGACTCATACAGCAGATACAGGTACACATGACCGGCCCCACCCCTCCCCAAAACACACCGCATCCTCTGGACTGGAGAGCTTTAGACACAAGTTTAATTTAACATTTTAAGTTTTTCATGTGTATTTTGTGATTTTTATTTTTATTTTTTTATATATTTTTGTTTGATTAATTTGCATCCATTTTGTTTTGCTTGTATTCCGTTTGCGATTATGTTTGCATTTGTTGAGCACTGAATAAAATGACTTCAAATAAACCCTGTCATGTATTTGTGCTGATCAAACTTGTGAATTAGATATTCTAAACCTAAACAGTATTCATAATTGAAAGAAATCTGCATGTGTGATACAGCATGTTTATATATACAATCCATATTACCTTTTATCATGGAGGAAAACTAATCCTAATGACATTTGATCAGTCACAAAGCGGTAACAGCGTAAGAGAGAGCATCCCTGGATGTACTCAGGTGAATATTTATCAATAATCATTATTTTCAGTCACAGGTGACCCGCTTAAACCTGACTCAGATCTGTGTCTTCTCTCCCTCACTCCCACCTCCCGCTCTTCTCTTGCAGAGTGCTGCCCGATGTCTCTGTGGACCCCCCCATTTGGAGCAAAACCGGAGCCACAGCCAGCAACGCACCACCCAATGGTACAAAACAATACAAACTGAACAAGTTATTGTCCTGTGTTTTCAAGTTTCATAGACTGTATACTGTTGATTTATTCCAACATACACAGGACAATTAAATGGGAAATTGCTAAATCTAAATTAGTTCACTTGCTTCAGTCACACATATAAACACACTTAATATAATCAGAATAAAAAATAAATGTGTTTTTATTTGATGCAAAAGAGATAAAGATTTAAATCTTTTAAAAGAATCATGTACATTTTAATTAATAGTGTATTCTATGTTTTATTGCAGCCCCTGAGACGGAGTCAGAGGCAAGTTATGCGTCAGTGCCACGAAAAGAGTCGACCAACAGTGACGTCTCCAACACCAACGCCAACAACCGGTACAGGTGAAACCTTTTTTTCAGTTTGAACACACACACAGACACACACACAGAGTCATGCACTGTGATGAATATTCACTGTTGAGTCTTCAGTTTAATCACCTATTTACCTTCACAATAAAAATTTTACAACTTCCTGTAACACACTACACTGCTGCTATTTAAAAACTTGGTAATTAAAGTTTAACCTGAATTTGGTGGATTATAGAAGCAGTGACCGTTTGATCATTTACTTGTGTATTAATATGTATTTTATTAAATACATTTATAAGAGGTATGATTCATTCACAAGTAAATGGTTTAGTTTAGCACTTTAGCACAGATTGTGTATTTACAGGAAATCTGGTCGTTTTTTTGATATTTGTAAACCAACCTACGTGAATTTACTGTGTTATATGAAACCACTTTGATCATTTTGAAGAAAGCAACCCTCCAGGGCACCTACCTGCACCAGTGTAAATTGACACTGACAAGATTTCTGTGTAACTGCTCTAACACAAACACAGGTGCGAGGTTACTGGTACCAAGTGGTGCATGTGACTGGAAATACAGCAGTAATTGGATCCTTTAGGCTCCACATTACACCTGTCAAATTAGATTATAACAAAGTGTTTTGCTTCTTCCAGAGTCCTTCCTGAGTCCAGTGTAGTCCCTGTGAAACAGGAGGCACCTCAGCGTGCCCGATCTCCCACTAGACCGCCCCCTGATGGTCAGTTTGATCATTACAAATGTACAAGTCAAGTTCTTATCTCTATCTGTATATAGTTGTAAAAATACTTTTTTATTATTATTTTAAATTCAGATTCATCAGAGTCAGACCAGCTTTTCCATCTTCGTCGTTCAGGCAGTTCTGAGCGAGAGGACAGCCACCCCAGGTAAAACTAAATACAAATATTTGTGTAAATAATTTCACTGTTCTATTCCTCAACTGCTTTGTCATTTACAGTAGCACTTTTTATAATTTTATCTTTATTTGTTCACAATTGCCCCTTTTAATCTCCAATTATCATTATTAATTAAAGGAAAATCAGTGTTCCTGCTCATACACGTGTTTTATTAATTTATCACAGTGCTCCTCGCGCTAATAACCGAATGGGCACTGGGACCTCTGGAATTTCAGTGAAGAGCAACCCGCCAATCTACTGTAAGTTCCTGTCAGCTTGTTTTTACACATAAATAATGTGTATTTATTAGAAAATGCAGTCACATAAATGTATATTTCTACTTTCCACAGCCAAGCCTGCAGAGGAGCCTATCTACTTGCTACCTCCAGATTCTTATCCAGCCACGACACCAGGGTAAGCAAAAAACATGAATTATCTCCATACAGCTATTATTATAAGCTGCTAACATGTGTATTTGTGATTCTCTGTTGTTCAGGTACAGCTCGGATGTCCGCACAGTGTCCTTCATCAAAGAGGGCAGTGTTGGGCTGAGGCTGGTCGGAGGAAACGATGTGGGAATTTTTGTGGGTGGAGTTCAACCGAACAGCCCCGCTTACGAACAGGGCATGAAGGAGGGCGACCAGATAATGCAGGTGACAGAATGATACCAATATTTCTCTATAATAACGCTCTGACTAATGACTCAAGAAGGGAACAAAACACAGTCTTATTGGGATTTTTATTTATTGGTAGGGATATTAAGGAAGTAAGCATCTTGTCATCGTTGTTTATGTGATGTAAGTTTAAAATAGTTTAAAGTTTAAGATATGACAAGAGACTACTGGCCTTGTAAAAATAAATAAATAAATACGGATGACATGATTACTTAAATTTTTATTTGATTCTTAGTTGAGTAAGTGTGTTCCTTGTTGACACATTTTCATGACTAAACAGCTGTTATATGAGTGGAGTGTAGACAGGCATGTGTGTGTGAACCAAATAGATAAACAACTATTGTTAATAGTGTTGTATTTGGTTGTATTTGTTAAACTGTATACACTGGTCTGAATGTTATGCCTGATCTCTATATACAGATAAATGATTGTATGCCTTGAATTATTGTTGTGTATACTTTTAGGTGAATAAAGTTGATTTTGGGCATTTCACACGGGAAGAAGCGGCAAACTTCCTTCTCAATATTAAGAGTGGGGAACGTGTGGAGATTGGCACACAGAATAAAATGGACCGTAAGTTTAAAAAAAATAAAAATCTTAATTGAATCATTGTATTTCTATCATTAGACTAAAACATATTAATTTCTATTTACAGTTTATAAGAAGATTATTAAATCTAATTTGGGAGACAACTTCTACGTGCGTACACATTACGACCATGAAGCAGAGGGTCCCATCGGCCTGAGCTTCACCAGAGGAGAAGTGTTCAGGATCGTGGACACAATGTACAAGGGGAAGCTGGGCAACTGGATGGCCATTCGAATGGGCAACGACCTGCACGAGCTGGACAAAGGTACCATCCCCAACCAGGCCAGGTAAGAAATGACTATATTCGTAAGTAACTTAAATAATGACTATCTTTGTTTGCATAAAATAATTACATAAAAATATTCAGGTGTAGTTTAGTAAGCAAGTAATTAAGTAAGTCTGGTTACAAGGATAATACCAAGAATAAATAAAGTCCACCTTGCCAAAAAAAAAAAAAAAAACATTTTTAAAACTAAAAATACATTAAAATGAAATATCCATCGGATTTTTTTTATTTTATTTACTTTTTAATTTACTTTCCTTACATTGTGACAAATAAAGGTTATTTTATTTTCCTCAGGTATATGTATTAATTTATTTTTAGGTATCAAAACAAGCATACAAAAAATTCAAATTATATTACATCTTGCAGGGCTGAGAAGTTGGCCGCCATGGAGCAGGCACAGCGGGCTATTGGAGTCAGAACCAAGACTGACTCTGGACCGAGAGCAGAGTTCTGGAAAATCCGAGGTCTCCGTGGAAACAAAAAGAACGACAAGATGAGGCGGACGCGGGACGACCTGCTGCAGCTCACCATACAGGGCAAATTCCCCGCCTATGAGAGGGTTCTGCTCAGAGAAGGTTTGTGTAGGATTTTATTCAGGTTTCCTGAGGTCCTAAAAGGATGAGGCAGTAAAAGTGTTTTTGTTTTTTTTATTACCAGTAAAAGTGGAAATCTTGGTATTTACAAAGACTCAATTTAATTTCACATAAATCTGTCTTGTGTAATATGTCAATGTTAATTAAATTAGTGCAACCTGGTAAAACTTGTAATTTTTTGTACAGCCAATTTCAAACGGCCAATCGTCATTCTGGGTCCTCTCAATGACATTGCGATGGAGAAGTTGGCTCGGGAAATGCCTGATGAGTATGAAGTGGCAGGTTAGTGCTCTGTCTCCTTAAATCATTACAAATGCAAAGACATAGTATGCCAACCAGGTTTTGTATCTGTGTAAAATGTATCTTTATAATGTATAATCACAGAGATGGTGCCTCGCAGTGGATCTGGAGACAGTTCCTCAACAGTCATTAAACTGGACACTGTGAGGAGGATAGCAGAGAAGGTCAGTATATTAAAGAGGTGTAAGTGACAGAAATGTTCTTGATCCTTTTGCAGTGATTCTGTTAATCATCCAATAAAAAAAACAAAAAACTGAATTTAACTATACTGTATATCAAATGCTCCATTTCACTTGTGTTTAGGACAAGCACCCCCTGCTGGATATCACTCCTACTGCAATAGAGAGACTTAATTACATCCAGTATCATCCAATGGTGTTGTTCTTGGACCCTCATAGCAGAAAAGACGTGAAAGCCATGAGGCATAGGTACAGCCCCAACTCCAACAAGAGCTCCAGACGCCTTTATGCCCAGGCGCTCAAACTTAGGAAGCACTGCAGCCATTTATTCTCTGGTAATTAACATCTGGTTTATAAATGTTCTGTGTTTACTGACATTATTATTATTATTAGTCTGTAGGCATAATTAGATTAGTTTTATTTAGGTATGGCTCTGTACCTGGATGCTTTTGTCACTTTTTCATCTCCTTTAAAAAAAACAAAAAAAAAACAAAAACAAAACAAAACTGTACTCTTTTTGTCTCTAGCTCGTATTGACCTGCAGCCTCACAATCATGTCTGGTATGAGGCTCTGAAAGATAAAATTCGTCATCAACAGTCTAAACCCGTCTGGGTTTCTGAAGTTACGGTAAGAACCATAAGCATTAAATATTCTAATCTATTGTGGTTTAGAATTCAGGACACTGAAGAGTAAAGCGGCTTGGTTTGTTGATGTGGTATAAAGTGGAAACCATAAAATTAAAAAAATTGTTCCAAAGACAACTGAGTAATCATTTTGAGTAGATAAAAATCTCAAATAAATTATGTTATGGATGAATACAAAATGTACAACCAAAAATTTATAAAAAATAGATCATGCTAACCTAATGCCTGAAATTAAATTTCTTGTTTCATTTTAATAAGTGTGGCCTGCCCTAAACTTTTTATCACTCTGTCTTTGCAGTTGGAGGCTGGAGGGGAGCAGGACCTGGATGCCCTGGACCAAACCACATCAGACTATCTGAGTGCAGCCAGTGACCTGGAGGACACAGACGGAGAAGCATTCACTGACGACGCCTACACTGACAACGAGGACCTGGAAGAGGCATACCCCATCCAGGATACGTCCCGAGCTCCACGCGCCTCCAGGGTGGCTGGCTCTGCTTTAGCCCGCTCCTCTGAGCCTGCCTACAGGGACCCTGATCAGCACTCAGACATCGACTCCCAGAGAGATTCTAGAGAAATCCCACCCCTAATGCATGTTCCTGAACCTAGAACCTACAGACAGGAGCAGTATAGTCCCCCACGAAGTCCTGCTGAAGAAGAAACAGTTCACCGCAGTTTTACAGACTCTGACTTCAGTGCTTTGGATGTAATTCAACCCACCACCCCCTCTGATGGACCCCCTGACTTTGTGGCCCCAGATCCCACCCTGAGGTACTCTGTGAATGAGCAGTCAGCAGATGAGGAAGATGACGAAGACAGGGAGGATGCACAGCTTGCAAGTCTGTCTGCAATTGAGGAGAAACTGGAGCAGGTATTTTAATTAAACAATTGAATCTACTTAACAAAGTAAATTACAAGGCTGCAACCATATAGAAGATGGGCAAGACAAAACAAATATGAATGTCAGAAAAAAAATATTAGAATATACATGCACCACAAAATTGACTCTTTAAGTGAGCTTTAAGTCATGTTAGAGTGTTGTTACCACCTCAAAAACATATCTGGTGTTGCGTTATGTTTCATTTGCAAACTTTTGAGTAATCCTGGTCATCCAGCTGTAGTTTTCAAGTTAATAGCTCCCTTTTTATCTTTTGTTCTGTAAAGATTGGTAATTCTAGGGCTGAAATTATCCAAATGATTCTAGTAAAGGTGTATGGATCTTAAAAACACAGTGGAGCACTTCCTTCTTGTATTACCACATGTCATCACAAGGTAGAACAACAAAACAAAACTCCAGGTTTTGATGAGGAAACAGCATTATTACTTAGATCAGAAAATAGCATAATATGGGCCCTTTAATGGTACATGCATAGTGGGATTTATTTTAGATGACTTCTGATGTTTTTGATGAACTGTGTATAAATATATAATGGGTTGTTGAAACTGGCAAATTGAAAGCATGCCTCTCTTTTAATATTTTGTATAGTAAAAAACAATCTCTGTTTCTGCCTCGTTCAAGGCTCGTCAGGCCGAACCACAAGCACAACCGGAGGACAAGAAAGCCCCAACATTCATAGTGTAAGTGAAAGAAAACTGCTGTATAAACTACAACTTCTACCTGAGTATATTTGAGACAAAATATTTACTGTTTCTCCCACAGACTGGCTCACCATCACCAGGCGGTTCAGTTCAGACGCACACAGATCAGAGGCAGTGATAGCTCAGATGACGACGATGATGTGGATGATGATGATGAGACTGACGACATTGAATGGGGCCCAGCCACTGAACTATAGAAACTTTTACAAAAACAAGAAAAAATGACAATTAAAATTATTTCACTCCCTGAACTACTGGATGTTACCAGATAAACAGATGGAGCTCATGCAACATTTTGAGGTTTAGTTTTTTAATGGACAATCTAATATAAATAAATGTAAATCTATAACAGCATTGCAGCATCTTCCAATAAGGTTTCTCATGGGTTCTATTTGCTACTATGGCCCACTTCATTTAACTACAGCCTGTATTAGATAAGTTTGCTCAGTGATGGTCACTTACACAAAAAGTACTTACATATTTGTACAACATTTTAATATTGTGAGAAGATGTATTAAATAAACGTTTCTGTGCTCCTTTTTATATTAAATACCTGAATTGTTTCAATATGTACCATTGCCGTTTTACATGTTAATTATTCCTTAAATGTTTACATCAATAAGAATAATTTCTGAGAGAAGGAATCTGAAAAAGTTTTCTATAATTTGCATAAAGGCATTAAAATTGGTTATTATTCATATACTTTTGTGTTTTATGGCAACATATGCTCCCCTATTTTAGAAATGCACTGATGCACATTTCTAATTTTGGTGCAGAGGATTTTAGTTGCGGTCTACTTTCCTGAGAAGCTGCTGAACTTTGAAGAGCAGGTGCTGTGGCGGAGGAATATCGCTGCCACACGTGTGACAGGGCCCCCTGATTACTGTGACTCGGGTGTTTTGCTGGTCTGCCATAGGACACAGCAACCCCCCCTTAAAGATCAATAAATCTTTTGTCAGGGTTTCTCCGCATTAATCAAAACCAAAACTTTCCCCATGCGACTCTCCGCGCCCTGTTGATCAATCAGCTCTGAGCGGATGCCGGCAGACGGTTTGTGGTGAGCTCTGTCACTGAGCCTGCGCGGCTCAATGTGCGCCGACAGGAGGAAGACAGACGCACGGTTGTCTTGGCTGAAGGTCGGTCCTGGTGGCACCGAGGTCCCGCAGGGCACACACGGTACACAGGCGCACAAGTGGCGACTCGGGGGGTGGGTGGGGGGGCTGTACGTGAAACTCAAAGAAGTCGGTATGGACGGCAAAGGCACGCTGAAGATGTTCACAAGAAAAAAGCGTGAACTCATGAAGACGCCATCCATCACGAAGAGGAGCAGAGCAGGAAGCCCCGGGCCACAGAGCAGCGCCCCATCCGTGAGTACAGCATCACTTCTGTTTTCTGCAGCTCTACGCACTGCCCCTGTCAGATGACCACCTCATGGACACTTGACACGAGCGCATATTGCAGCAGTCTGTGGCAGAGCATTTTCAGTTTGGGTTCTTTGGCAATAGTAAGCTATAGAGTTACTTCCAGTGGTTTTCTGTCAACCAGATTATCTGCACAATCATTAAAGGAAGTATATGGGTGGCACTGAGAAAGACGCAGTCGACGTCTGTTTGCCTTTGAACTGAAGAGTACTTGGGTGTATTATGGGGGCAAAGTAGATCTGAAGGAGTTATGTTGAAGCGAGGGGGCAAAAGCTACAACCCTTACTCTACTGGACAGAGAGTTAAGAAAAGTGAACCTAAAGGCAAAGAAAAATTGGACATACTGCCTAACAAGCACGGCGCATGGCTCAAACAGGTATGTCCACCTCTACTCTTCTCTGTGTTTACTGTAACCAGAAAAGGCCCCTATGTTTGAAATAGACCCTGGTTCGTCAACATTAAAGCAGGCACTATCAAGTGAACAAAATGAGACTATATAGGTATTTATGTATTAATAATTAGGCCTCATTAGTCATTGGCAACATCTGTAATTAACAAAAATCTGTAAATATAACTGAAAGTGCTCTGAAATATTTATAGTATTTTGTGCTTTTTGACACGGGGTTTGGTTCACCCCACCCTTCAGCTGCATGGAGTCAGGAAGTGTTACACAACGAAATACAGGATCTTGTGACAGATCTCCTGTGTTTACCAACATCATCAATGTCTGTGTTTTAGTTCGTCTTACATCAATTTGTATCACTGTGCCAAATCCAACCCCAAAAGATCACAAATGAGTGAATTGTTTGAGAGGTTTGCATCTTGACAGGCATGTGCACGCCAGTATTTGCTATCCAGGAAGGTATTGATCTCCATAGGATATTGACTGGATATTAGGGCGATCAATTAATGACATAGCTTGTCATGTGTAGGTCATCTTTTCATATTTTGTTTAGAGTTTTTGGACTTTTGTATAGTACATTTGAATTTACTGTAAGAAAAAATGGCAATATTGGTGTCATAATTGAAAAAGCTGTGCATCTCTAGGCATGATATAAATAAATGCTATTTGCTATAAGTTTAACAATAGTGACACCAGAAGGAAAAGATTACTTGATTTATTCTTATGTCCTTTCCAGCTATCCATTCTTCAGGAGCAACCTCGTAAAGATGCCGGAGATGCTGCTCTCTCTTCTTCACCCAATGTTCCCCCCTCCACTCTCAGCCCAAACACTGCAGGCCTGTTGGACCCCTCCATGTCCTGTCCCGGGACCCCCAGTGTCCAGCACAGTAAGATGCAGGGGATGAACTGTCCCTCTCCTGTGGGCACACTGCGGAGGCCTACTTCACTCAGTAGGCATGCTAGTGCAGCAGGTTAGCATCAACAATGGGCTAATATCTATTATTATCTGTTATTAAAATCTAATAATATAACATAATGAACGTGAATTTCAAATGCAAGAACTAGATGTACATATATCATTCATTAGCTGCTATTGGAATATGCTTTAAACAATATGTGCATACAAAATATATTTGTATAGCACATATGTAAATGTTGAAACAAATAATGAAAAAATGTTAAAGCCATTTCCCTTATGTATACAGAAACCCTAATTCCACTGTAATATACTATCAAAATACTATGACTTTCAGGTTTTCCCCTACAGTCATGGGTGTTCACTCGGGGGCAGGCGAGGGGTGCTCTGACCCCCACTGCGCAGGTGGACAGTCCTGAGAGCACAGCCCTGGAGGTGGAGGACATCCCGGCTCTGCTCCGGGATGTGGCACGCTTCGCTGATGCGGTGGATAAACTCAAGGATGTGGTAATGGTCGAAGGTAAAGAAATGTCCAGTAATAAATTTATTTTAAAAAATTTAGTGCTTACTCATTGATATGGACTCCATGCTGTTTCTCTTCATAAATGTGAGTCAGTAGATCAGTAGAATAAATTATCACAATCACAAGTCAAATAAGCAGATTGTTTTATTTACCAGTAATTTGACATGCATATTTACTTTTCCTCTGTAGAAATGAAATTGTGGATGGCCCCTTTAGGCCATGACAATGACAAACCATTAGAAACAATAACAAACTCTTCAAAACACTTTCCAATGGGTGCATTTTAAGATTTGTAGTGAAGCAAAAGTTGTTACAGGACACAAGAGAAAGACAGGAAGACATGAGCCTGACTTGAACTCTGATCTCACTTCATCAAATGTGCTTCAATGGGTGAGTCATAGAAGCGCCATCTTGAGTACTTCACTGCATGAACTGTAGTCAACAAAGTTTGCTTTGAAGTTGATGGATGTGTAGAGCAGCATTGCTTGTATTGCTTTGTAGTCTCATTAGTGACTGCATGACACTATTTTTACAGTTATAAATTCCTCTACAAAATACTGCATGTTTGCCAGTTATCAGAACAATAGTGTTTAGCCTCCCTCTTCCCTGTTTGGTTTGACAAGGGCATCTGACACGCGCCTGTCTGTATGTGGGTAATAATAAGAGTCTGCAAAAGTCTTAGAGTGTTTCCGGAGCACCCACACGTGCCGTCTTTTGAAAAAAGAGAAGGCGATATCTGTCTATTAAAGTATAAAAGTGAAGCTGGAAATATTGGGGGGAAAAAACAACAGTGCTAAATTTGAAACTAATCAGGAAAAATGCTTTTAAAAATATTTTTCTGTACCTAATCTGTCTACTGCCTGTATGAGAGCTAAACAGGAAACCGTGATGGATAGCCTTTGACAGAGTGGCTTTGTCCACACTTCCTCCTCCTCTCAGTCTGTCTTAATCAATCTGACGTAACAATGTTTTCCTTTATAATAATGTACTATTTTATGATGACTGTTTCTGCTACTGTTTTTATGATAATATATTTAAAATTATCAAACCTTTTTATATGTTAGACCCACTGACATGTCTCCTAACCACTGATTTGTGTAAAAATGCTGTTGTAGACATGTATGCCAGTTTAAATGCACCATTTCAAATAAATCCATGTTTTCGACCTTAAAAATAGCCACATCCTCCTGTCGCTGTGGTCAGGTCAGTCTGGCCTTTTGAGTTCATGCTGTGTGGACACTTCTGTGATGGAGACAGATTTAAATAAAGAGGGGCGAGCTGACCCCTGTCACATTAGCACTGGTTCTAATTCACATCATGAGGTGGTTCAGTCATGCACCACATCTCTCTAGCTTTTCTAAACACAAGTGTAATGGTGTATCAGAGAAAGCACTTGTTTTTCCACAGTAGTAGTTATTCATTGAAATTAAATGTTTAACTCAAAAAATGTGGTTAATTCCATAAATAGCCTGTAGTGTAGCCTTCAGGTACTTCATTTTGTTTCATAGTAATGGTTGAATATCTTCCCCTGTGTCCATGTACACAGGTAAGGAGAGCCAGCGTCCTGTAGCCCACGAGTGTTTGGGAGAGGTCCTCCGGGTGCTGCGGCAGGTCATTAACACATACCCTCTGCTCAACACTGTGGAGATCCTCACCGCCGCCGGCAAGCTTATATCCAAAGTCAAAGGTCTGTCTAATGTACTATTCTGTTTCTACAAAGCAAGTTTTGTGTTACGTGATCTACATTAAACGCTATTAATGCTGTCTCAATAAATTAGAAATGAACTGCACTGAACCGTGATCTTTCAACGGCAGTTCAAAAAGGGAAACAAAAATACACAGCAAGGCCTATTGAGTCAGTGGCAAATCTGTGCAGGAGATATTATTAAATTACTATTATTACTCAAACTACATATGATATTTACTCTGGACTCGTGTCTAATATAAAACATGTATTGATTTATCTAAACGGGGTGTGTGAGAACTGTTGAATTTTCCCCCTTTGTGTATTTTAGTACATCAGTGAGATTAACAGTCTACTGAATTAAGCTAAATTCAAGCATGGGTCTAATTGTTAGGTTTCCACTATGAGGCACCCAATGAAGCAGACAAAATGGAGTTTGAGAAAGCCATCGAGACCATTGCAGTTGCCTTTAGCAGCAAGTGAGTATAACATTTATTTTCCTTAATATATCTTCAATAGTGTTTTCACCCATATTTTGAAATTCTAATCTGCTGAAAAGGTTACTGATGACCAAATTCATGTTAGGTGCTTTACAACCACAAAAATCAGGTAGTCGGTGCATACAGAGGCCCGTTGTTGGGAACAGCAGAGAGAAGTACAGTGACGATGGTGACACATTTGCATGAGGCAGAGCTGAAAACAGGAAGTGGGTTTCGATCTACACATTGTGACACAAAACCAAAACTGCAACACACTGGAAGCTTTACTAAACTAAATCTAAAAAAGCTTTGGCTAACATAATCAGTTTTTTTTTTTACTATTATAAGCATGGTGACAACCTTAACACTTGTGGTCACTTTGACATTTGTGGTCTTTGCTTATCTCATTGTGTGCCCTGTCTTATTTCTTTGGTAGTAACTAATCTATAAAATGTATGTAAAAATCCCCAACTTAACTGGTACATTGCTGTTTGTAAACATACGTATAACATGTGCCATTTTGGGTGAAGACTTCAGTCAAAGAGTTTAGAGGAAGTGAGTTGGCTGAGACGGTTGAAATCTGCCTGACATGTCTGTTTCCTCATAGTCTCTACTACTCACTTCAGTACATTTACATAATATATTTACATTCATAGCAACATTTATACTTTTTTTTTTTTGAAGATGGGTATGTTCATTATTTACAGGTTTTAGTCTTTTGTCTGTTTTTGTTACATTTGGTTGTTGTATTTTACTTTTTGAAATGTAATACCTCTTTCAGTTTCAGTAGAATGTAAAAAAAATGGAGACGAATGGGGTACACACTTAATCACTACAACATTAAAGAAGACTTAATTGTGTATTTTCTCGGTTATATTTTAATTTTATTTGCTATTATGTCTGTGATTCTCTTAATACTCTTGTTAAACACTAGCATGTCTTTTCCAGTGTGTCTGAACTGCTCATGGGAGAGGTAGACAGCAGCACCCTGCTCTCACTACTGCCCACAGAGAAGAGCAGGGTGAGACTTTCAAAGCAACTCTATGTCCATGTCTAATTAAACAAAAAATATAATTATGATTTTTGTTCTTTTTAGTCAATGGAAAACCTATATGCTGCTGCCGGCGAAGCTGGTCAGTTCAGGGGGGATCTACAAGACATGGGTATGTACACCATTATGCTTGTTACAGACTTTATACACCTAAAATGTACATTTGTTACATGTGTATAGCAGTTTTATTTTCATTAGAAGCACAAAATACTACAATGACATTTGATAAACTGAAAACAAATGTGCATGTGCATTGGATGATTTGAATGCATGTAGGCCGGGTGGAGGAGGTAGATGTGATCCTCCAGCGCAGTGAGGGAGGGGTGGACTCCGCTCTGCTCTATGCCAAAACCATCTCCAAATACATGAAGGATCTGATCAGCTACGTAGAGAAGAGGACCTCGCTTGGTAAGTCAGTGCACACAAAAAAGTTCAGTGTGACTCAATCAAGGCAATTTTTGTATGCCGTAAATTTTGAGTGGAACAAAATAATCCATTTCTTTTAGTCAGCGCTAACTGTTGTTTAACTTTGTTTTCCCAGAGATGGAGTTTGCAAAAGGTCTCCAGAAATTATACCAGTCCTGCAAACACAGCATCACACATGTAAATATTATTTTTATACTTTTTTATAACATATCACACACAGTGAGCCAGCATTAGCGTTATGAGATGAATGCCTTTTCCTACTCTTCACCCCCATTTCACATTGCTTACTGTCCTGTCCCAATAAATCAAATGCATTTTTTCTTCTCCCTGCAGCCACACATGCCTCTGTTCTCCATCTACTCTTTGGCATTGGAGCAGGACCAGGAGCAGAGTGTGGGACTGCAGCAGGCCAACACCACTCTGCATAGCCAGACCTTCATACAGGTGTTTTACCAAATATTGTTTTATGTTATGTTTATTTTGTTAGTGTCCATGTTTTAATATTTGACTAAAGGTATATCTGTTTGTTGTCCACACAGCCCTTGATGCAGCGTAAACAAGAACATGAGAAAAAAAGAAAGGATATCAAGGAGCAGTGGATTCGAGCTAAAAGAAAATTGGTATAAGTCATGTATAGTATTACCTTTTTATCTTTATCCACTTCTTACATCAGAAAATCTGACATTTTTCCTCCACTGTGATCTTGAAGATTATCATATAGGATTACACCGAAAAATTTTTAAAACTATGTTTAAGGGGACATTTAAAAGTTGTTATTGCTTAAATAAGCCCAAACTAAATTAAAGTGCTTCCACTGTTGTTTCATGTTAGGTCTGATTGTGGTATTTTGTGAATAGTTGGAGTGTGAGGTGAACTTAAGGAAGGCAAAGCAGTCCTATGCGGCTCGCTGTGAAGAGTACGAAAAGGCCAAAGCAGCAGCCAGTCGAGCCGAAGAGGAGGGAGCAGGGTCTACCGCCAAAACTGTGGAGAAGAAGAAACGCTTGGAGGAGGAGGCTCGCAACAAGGTCCTTATCAGCTCCAGACACCAGCCATAGTTTGTGGTTGTTTTGATAAATATTTCTAGCAAATTTAATTTGTACTGCTTTGGATTGAGTTGATGGGGCAGACATTGTAGAGTCATCTGAGGGTTAAAGGAAATGTAATGTCTCACATCAGTTGTGAGATGTGCGCTGTAGTTAAAGTTTTATTGCATGTGTTCAGACTGATGAAGCAGAGGCCACGTACCGGACATGTATCGCAGACGCCACAACACAAAGACTGGAACTGGAGCACACCAAAGTCACTGTCCTCCGACAACTGCAGGATGTCATCAAGCAGAGTGACCAGACACTGCGATCGGTCAGAAACACACAGAGCATTACAGTTACCAACTAATTTGATTATTAAACATAATGTTCATGGTTTGGTCTTTTAGACTTCTACAGTTGGTCGGAATATTTTAACCCAATATTAGTTGGTCATGTTTATGTAATGTGAGTGATACAAGAAGTTGAAACGCTTCTAATGTTTTATTTTTCAGGCAACAATCTCGTACTACCAGTTGATGCACATGCAGACAGTGGCTTTGCCAGTGCACTACCAGACTCTGTGTGAGAGCAGTAAACTGTACGACCCGGGACAGCAGTATGCTGCTCACGTCAAAGACTTGCAGCTGCCCGAGCAGCCCCCCGTCCATTACACCTTTGAGACCTACTCCCCCAGCTCCTCCTCACAGTAATATACCTTTAAAACTGTAGGCTTGTCATTTAGTATCTTTTGTGAAATTATTGACACTGTCTTGTTGTATGGCAGCCATGGCCATAGGCCGAGAAATGATAGTTTCAACACGGAGCCTCCAAGTCACTCTGAGAGTCCAGCTACTCAACAGGACAAGGAGACTGAGGCACAGAGAAAGAGTCAGTTCACTAATCTTTAATAGTTCATTATTTGGCTTGATAATGAATAGTTCATTACTCAAGGGCTTGACTTTACACTTTGCTTTAGGACAAGGACACAAATCCTGGGGCTCGACAGTGAGTGACGACAGTGTTGGAGGAGAAGGTCTGGACTCTCCAACAGCTAGCACAGGTTAGCTCAGTCTTTTGTTCTTAAAAAAAAAAAGTGTATAACAAAATAATAATTTAGGATTATTGTATTGTAAAGGTGACATCAGTAAAATCCCCCGAACATCCTCTACTTGCACGGTCTCGTCTAATGAAGATGTGGATGAAAAAGATGGAAATGTTGCTTCATTTGAATCTCCAAGTGAGTTTTTTTTATTTTTTTATTCTTATTTAATTATACTATCTATAGTGTGATAAATACACTATTAATATTATATGTAACGACTAATTAAGGTTTAATTTAATTCCGGATTTTTTTCTGTTTTTTGTCAGATATCAATGGTATGGATCCTGATGTGGTTGTGTCTACCAGACCCTTTCGTAACATTGGTTTATCTAAAGCTGCTCAGACACACAGACTCAGAAAACTCAGGACTCCATCCAAGTGCCGTGAATGTGACAGTTATGTGTATTTCCAGGGGGCCGAGTGTGAGGAGGTTAGTCCATGGAAAGACTGGTTGAATTTTGGTTATAAATATTTATTAAATCACTTTTATATCACTGCTCCCAGTGTTTCTTGGCCTGTCACAAACGCTGTCTGGAGACTCTGGCAATTCAATGTGGCCATAAGAAGCTGCAGGGCCGTCTGCAACTGTTCGGGAGGGAGTTCTCTCAGGTGGCTAGCTGTGCCAGTGACGGCATCCCCTTCATTATCACGAAATGTATCTCAGAGATCGAGAGAAGGGCACTTAAAATGAAGGTGAGTGGACAAGCATATTCTACATCCTGGTATTTAGAATATCTACTCAATGTGTGGTTACTTTATAAACACAACTTTTTCTTTATAAACACAACTTTTATATTTACAGGGCATCTACAGAGTCAATGGAGTCAAGACTCGTGTGGAGAAGCTTTGTCAGGCATTTGAGAACGGCAAAGAGCTGGTGGAGCTGTCCCAGTGCTCTCCTCATGACATCAGCAATGTGTTGAAACTTTACCTTAGGCAGGTGTGTGCTATTAGTGATATTTACTTAACAATTTAACCACATGAAACAGTGTATTGTACATAGATGACTTAGCCAACTTTTACCCATTAAGGACTTTGGCAAATTGGCAATTATTTTGTAATTTTGTATTTTCACTTAGTTTTAAGTATTCATTTAATATACAATCAGTGCCTTTCCTCCTCATCAATATTATATAGGGGGCTGTCATCTTGTTTCCTAACTAACCCAGGGGGCAATTTTGAAGAAATTAGATTAGCCTGATGTGTGCTCTTATGTACCCAGTTGCCAGAGCCCATCATGCCATTCCACCTATATAACCACCTGATGGGGCTGGCAAAGGAGAGCCTGCACAGTGACGAAGCCACAGAGGGGGAAGAGTCTTGTGGTCCCACTGTTGGAAAAGGTCCCGAGCTGGTCGACCTTGGCCCAGATACTGATCCTGAGATCTTAAACCTCATTGAAAAACTGAAAGAACTTCTGAAGGAGCTGCCCAAGGCCAACATCGCGACACTGCGCTACATCATACGACACCTCAGACGGTAAGTACTACATATTATACATTTGTTTATCTCCTCGTGATCCCATTAAAGTAAGTAGGTAGTAATAAGTAAGTTAGTAGATAGGTAATGGGTAGAATCTTTATTTGTCAGAGGGCAATGGTGCATAATACTCTAAACACACACAAATGTTAAGATTCCAATTTATTCATAACATTCATTAGTTTGGCGGAAGAAAGTCAGAGGATGCAGTAAAAATTGGTGTCAGAAGACAACAATACTCTATTTATTATTTGAATTCCATTCAGGATTGCAGAGCTGGAGGAGGATAATAAGATGAGTCCTAGTAACTTGGGTATAGTTTTTGGACCGTCCTTGATGCGCCCACGTCCCACCGGAGCCACAATCTCTCTGTCCTCTTTGGTGGACTATCCACACCAGGCCCGCATTGTGGAGGCCCTCATCGTATTCTATTCAACCATTTTTCAGTCAAAATTGTCAAACAAAAGTGGGCGTTCTGCATCCGTGTCAGTTCAACCAGTAAGTATATTTTGTAATCACACTTGATTGACAAATTGCATTCATGTGCAAAATTGTTTATCATTTTGCTTATTTAGAGCGCCATAATAGATGAGAAGTCTATGAGCTCCCCTGATGAAGAGGACAAGGTGGGAGAGGAGAAAGAGATAGAAGACAAAATTAAAACAGAGGAGGGGTGCAGTAAGTTTATTTGCTTATATTTTACTCTGTACTGATTTCAGTCTGAGTTGACAGGCAACTATTTAGTTTTGATGTTCAGGATGAATAGTTTGTTCCATTTGACACCATCTGACATTTTCTGATTTTCAAGGTAGTTCTTTGGGATCGCTAGGCTCCAATGAGCAGCTCTCGGACTCTGAACTGGAGGAGGAGACTCAGGTGACTCTGAGCCGGACTCTGGTCAAACAGGAGAGTGAGGCCAGTCTGGACGAGGACCAGCTCAGCTATCGGGACAGTTTAGACATGTCCAGTGTCTCTGCCTTTCACACAGATGCTGAACCAGAAGAAGACAGTCCTAAATGTGAAGAGGCACCAACTCCGCCCAACTGTTGTCCCCCTGAAGAAGATACTCCAACTGAGGAGGAAGTTGGTGCGTCTTTGGCCAATCTCAACCTGAATCAAAACAACAACTACCCCTGCTCCCCCGTTCTAAACCTGCCAGGGCTACCTCTGGCACCCCTTGGCGGGAAGAAGTTACCCCTTACAAGGAACAGGGACAGTGAACCTGAGTTTGTCTGAAATTATGAAGAAAATTGTGTGAATGAGCTAAAGGATTTTTTAGAGACTAATGAGTTTTTATATTTTATACATGTGTATCTGTTAGACTGTAAGATCTATGCATTCATGCTGTTGACTTCACATTTGAATGATGGGGAAATGTTTTAATCCACAAAGTTTAATTTTGCAGTACTTAAAATTTAATATTTTTCTAATGCTGAAATGACTTGTTCTTGTTCATTCATTTTAATAAAACCCAAATTATACCCAGTGTTTTTCTTGAAATGGAACAGGGGTTGTCCTATTTTATATTCACCACAAAATGTGTAACCATCCCTCTGTCTATTCAAATAAAGCCAACAGTGCTTCAATGTGCAATTGACATGGCTCCCAGGGAGTAACAGTACCTTTTTCCTTCTAAGTGTTTATATTTTGTCATGTACTATTGGTTTAGTATGTATTCTAATTGTATGCTTTGTTTAGATGCATAAGATGATTGGTGAAGTGTTTATTACTAGTTTTTATTTATAAAATTCTTAAAAAAAAAAGTTTATAAACAAGACAAAATTACTGTTTCAGACACATCACTTTGACGTCCTCTGATCCTCCTAGATGATGGATAATAAAGTTAAAAACAAAAGGAAAATAGATTTGACAACATTCCTGTAATGACTAGTGACATACCTCCTTCACTGTACCAATCTATATGTGATGTACCTTCCAGCCGTCTCACTGGGTCGGATAATCTTTACTACCTGAAATTCAATTACAAAAATCAACGATGTTACACTTTTGACCACGCAGAAAGTGCAGAATTACAATTATGGTTAACGACGGCTACACAATTTGAATTAGGCAAATATTACTTGCCTGTCCTCTTTTTAAACCAAAGTAACGTGCAACAGGGTCCCCAGCCTGAATCCTAGGTAACTGACTTTCCTTTAATTTACTGAAGAAAAAAAATAAGGAAAAACAAACATGGATGTGACTACTTCTGTCCAAAATGATTTTTCATAAAGGATACTATCTCGCTAGGAGTTCAGTCACTTCCTCTTTTGTCATTACAATGTGTTCTGGAACAAGCTGAAACAAATGAAATGTATTACATTTATAAAAGGAATTTCAAATTCAGTATACATGTCATTATTTCTACACAGGTAAGTTTGTACATTGGTGTGTTGCTCACCTCATGCTCTGTGATGTTAATAAGCAGTTCTTGTTGTAAAAACTGCTCAAGTATATATTTAGGGGCCATGTCCACTAAAGACTGATGAAAGAAATGTATGATTACAATGGACAAACGATATTTATAGATCATAGAAGTAAGTCACATACCTGCTTTGCTGATGGTGTCATACCCATCTGAACGACTATAATGGCGCGTGTGATGTTTTCTTCCTGCATCCTCTGGCAATACATCTTTATGGTTTTGATTCCAACTTTAGGTTCCTCTGAAAGTGAATTGGAACAGCATGTTAGATGTATTCTCATTTCTGTATTCCCGATCCCCTCACTGGGTACATCGAGTTTAACCTACCAGGAAAGAACACAAACATTTGGTCTGTGGGGTCGTCGTTGTGCGCCACCAGCACCGTGAGATCTGTCCTCCTCGGGCGACCCTCGCTGGGCTTGTCTCCAAACTGACTCTTGAATTCATCCAAGGTTTGGTCCAACTCGTCTTGTGTCACCAGGTACCCTCTGTCGTGACAGAGCTACACAGAAACAAGGACGAGAAGCGGCGCATGTTACTAAAATTGTAGTTGGCGGAATACATTATGATCTGAACTTAGATGCGTAATAAATCCACAATTCTAAGTACATCACTGAGTAAAATGCTAAGCTAAAATAACAAAGCGAAGCGACATATTACAAAAAAAACTTGTTTGTATATCACCTGCATGATAGTTTTACGAATCTTCCACAGTCTGTAGGTCTCCTCTTCGTCATCCATATTTCCACAAATGTATTATTTATATAATATAGAGTAAATCTTTTATTTTTAGCCTTTGCTCGAACAGAGAGCGACACACGCCGTAGCCAGTGAGTAGTCGCGTAGTGATCACGTCACAATGAAGGTGGGGTTTGTGTTTCACAACAAACCGGAGGTGTGGCTCGTGCGGCTGCAATGCTTTATCTAGATTAGGTCAAAAGGTGGCCTCTTTCTTATAAAAATGAGGCCTTTTTGTGTTATTTTAGCATTTGGCGTGGTGACGGTATGTGGAGCGCTACTGGCCATGGTACTGTACTTTGTATTAACCGCAACGGTAATGTAGAAAAGTACAATTTGTTAATTCGTGCAGCATGTGTTTAGCATGATGTTGTTTTTTTTTTATGTAACTCGTCGCAGTTGCTTTTGAAATCGTATAACCTATGAGGGTTTGAGAGAGCACTGTGTTTGTAAGAAGCAAATGGTACAGAAGTCTGTGCATGAGACTCAGTGCTTGTCATGACAACTGGTGGATGGATGTGCCTTATTTGTTTCCCTGTTGTGACCTCACTGCCAATATTTGCTTATCATCTGAAGGCAGGGACATGATAAGTGCTTAAATAACCGAATGCATGTGAAGAACCTTTTTAATGCTAATTGTCAGTTTAAATAAACGATGCCATATATGACTTATGTGACTTATGTGACTTAAATGTATCGTTGTCATAAATAAGAAGTGGTTAGTCGACATTCCTGGATAAATAGCGGTTAAATAAACTTAATTCAAATTCAAATGAATGTAAAAAAAATAATTTTAAACTGACATTCTTTGACATACGTCTGTGTTATGAGTTGTTGAAAAAATAGAATGTCAAAGCCTATTGTCCAAACACAGCACAAGTGTGGGATTTATTCATCTGTCACGGACTTAAATATATGAATATGTTCGCAACAGCAGAATTCAGATTTACATCTGAGCTCATTGTTTATTGCCTGTGTAACAGTAATCTCTTTTATATAAAGGGATTATGTATTTCTTAAGACTTGTCCTTTGCCCTGGACACAGACTGATCCTATTCTCGTTTGCTCAACAGTAAGAGGTGTTGTGGTGGACTGTGGACTAAGTACATTTGTAGGACTGCCTCTCAGTATTAGAGGCTGAGCTGCTTCAATAACCGCCCCAGTCCTGTACCGGATCAGAACTGGTCAGTTTGTTAGTACGGGAGTTGTGGTTGCTTGCTGCCTTCAGGGGACCTTACTGAAGGCCAGCATGCGTCTACTAGGGTCTGCTGTCCTTTTCTCTGTTTTGCTGCAGACAATGGTAAGAGATTTGAATAGCTTTATTCCTCAGTTGTTGGAAACTGATTTGGTTAAATGCATGTGTGTAATTTAAAGGTTGAAAAAACTGTAGGTAAAACTAATTTGTGTCGAGCTTTGTTTGCCTTTTGAAGTGATTCATTGAATATTTATATTTTTATTGTTTTTTTTTTTAGTCTGTACCAGCAGAGGAATGGCAGACTGCCACATCAATTTACAACTTCACAGCCACAGATATTGATGGAAACTTGGTGTCTCTGGAAAAATATAGGTAAACTTTGACCACACTAACCAAATATTAAATGTCCTCTACTATCTACCTTCTTATCAGATTTGTGTGTTTGTTTTGTCAGGGGTAATGTTGTCATCATCACTAACGTTGCCTCTAAATGAGGAAAAACTCCAGTGAACTACTCTCAGTTTGCGGATTTGTACGCCCGCTATGCTGAGAGGGGTTTGCGCATTCTTGCCTTCCCCTCCAACCAGTTTGGAAACCAGGTACACAGTCCCTCACATTATTAATTGTTTTTGGAGACCATCAGTCATAGAAAGAACTGTTAGCCTCTATTGTTGACTTAAAATTTTTATCTGGTTTGTTAAAGGAATATCACATCAATCACATTTTGAAGTATTTTATGTAATGATGATGCAGGTGCCCTTAACTAGACAATGAAAATGTGAGTGGCTTGTATCCTCTAATGCTGTTTTCTCTGTGATTTGTCCACAGGAGCCAGGCACTGAGGCCCAGATCAAGCAGTTTGCTCAATCGTACAACGCTCAGTTTGACATGTTCAGTAAAATTGATGTAAATGGAGACAGTGCTCACCCTCTGTGGAAGTGGCTCAAGAGCCAACCCAATGGAAGAGGGTTCATGGGAAAGTAAGTTTATGTCAATTCAGCACTTGAATAAATAAAAAGTAATATAAAACTGATTATTCTTATGTTTTTAATCTTACAGTAGCATCAAGTGGAACTTTACAAAGGTAATTGTTTTTGTTCTATGATTGTTAAATTATCATAAAATTGCTATTTATAACACTATAAAATATGACAAGAGTGCCTTTTTAATATGTATTATGAAGTAATATATTACATAACATAACTACATAACTATTATAAGGGGCTATGATTATGGTTATGTAAGTATGTGGACAAAAAAAGTCTTTAAGTACTGTGTGTTTTTTCTTTTCAGTTTTTGATCAATAGAGAGGGCCAGGTGGTAAAGAGATATGGGCCCCTGGATGATCCTAGTGTAAGTATAATTTATGTTTGAAGAAACCATAATTCTAAAGATTGTTACAGTATTAAAATGAACTACTAACAATCATACACTGCCATTGAATGAACATTACATTGAACTAATAATAATGTATTTGTTGTTTATTTTCAGGTGGTGGAAAGGGATCTTCCCCAGTACCTGTAATCTCTGCGTGAATGGATGGCCAACCAATAATGCATTTACTAACTCGCTTATAATTTCTCCTGGTATTGTATTTTTTGTGTTTCTGTGTCTCAGAGAATCAGTCAATATAACATGTGCCTGGCCCAGATAAATGAAGGGATGTTCAAAAATCTAGTTTTCTGGACTGAACAGACCTGATGAAAATTGCGTACAAAACTACTGGGAAGAGCACAATGTTGTCTGAATCTGAGTCTCTGTCAGGCAAAGAAGTACCATACTAAATTTCCAAATAAAAAGCACCAACAAGTTAAATGTGTGTATTATTTAATTTGTTTCTAATGTTGCATGATTTTGTTAGGAATGCATCATTTAATCACATCCATTTGGCCAGTATGCAGTGCAGTTTATAGAATAATAGAATAATATGTCAAATTGGTTCTTTTAGCATTTTTTAATTGTAAATGTGGTTACATATGAAGTATATTTTTTTTTCCATGGGTGTGAAGAGGAAAACCTGCTGCGAAAAAAAAATCATATTAATGAGGCTCTATGCTGCAGTTCTTATTTGTGTCCGCCAGCGGGGTCCACAGAGCGCAGTCCCGGTGTAGTAGTAGTGGTTGGTGATGGTAAATCTGTGGGTAGTACAGTAGCAGCAGTCAGCGCAGTGGAGCTGACAGCAGAGCAGAGAAGACTCGGGACTACCGCACACATGAAGGGACTCTCGTGGATAACTCGCCTATATTTACCCGTCTGACCGGTGCTCCAGAGCCGAGGAGACACGCTCTTCTCCTCGCCATCGGGTTGATCCAACACTACCGTGGGGTCCTTCCTTCGCGGGGCTTGGCTTTTTTCCTGCGGGAGACTGAATGGAGGCAGCAGCCGAGGGAGCGGTCGGGCTGTCGGAGGCCGGGGAAGGGAGTCCTCTGTCCGGGGCCGCAGCATCTGAGGATGGGGACGCGGTGATGGGAGTCGGCTATGGGATGGACCCGGGTGATATGGGTACGTGTTGTTTTTTTTCACCAACTCATCCTATGCGTGACAGATGCTGTTTTATCACGCATGTATCCATTGCACTTGTGATGCTGTGACCAGAAAGTCCCGACTCATCTCTGCTGTTAGCTAGCTACCAGCTAACTAACCTTGGCTGGATGAAAACAGGTAAACAGAAGCTCTGCAGAGACATTATTGTGTAAATTAGCAGTAAACTGTTGGCTACTGTATGTGTAGGATGAGTGATCTGTGTTGTCTTGACTTAATTAAATGAAGGTAATAATGATCTGCTGAAAAGGGGAATCAGGTGTACATTTAGGGTCACCTGGACAAATGTGTCATTTACAGACTGCATGTAGGGGTCACCTTAATGCTAACAATTGAACAAGGCAGTTTCATTATAAAATTGTAATGCTTTATGACTGTTGTATTATTGAACTGGAAGCCTGGACCACATATGTGGAGTAGCCTAGTAGGCAGTTTTTTGACAGCTACTATGATGCTCAGTACATTATTATGCAATAGTATTTTGGGGGGTTATCTGAAATAAGAAAGAGATTCATTAGGTTATGGTTTAAGGTATAATGAACATGCCTAGCTTTCATTATCAAAATATACAGTCAAAAGGAGGAATAATTATTTCCAAACCATAAAAATGGTTTTACACGTTGTTATAATATAATAACTTATTACACTGACTCCATTGTCCCATCCTGTAAATAACATGTTCAGTTTATTCAGTCCTTTGTCCCAGTCACTGATACTGTGTGTGTTTGGGGATTTCTCTCTCTCCTCACATGGTGAAAATTGCTGACTATAGCGAGTTCTGGACCTCCACATTGAGCAGACCTGTGAATCGAAGGTTGTTCACTATGTAGGATTCCTTCTGAAACTCAATGGTAACATGCTGTGGTGGAGGGGAGCCGTTGGCTGCAGATGTCATTTTTTGTATTTTCTGGCTTGCTGCTTGCTGGCGCGTGTCTAGTGCACCCGAGGTAATTTCACAAGTGCGTGCCTGCTCAACTCACCAATCAAACGCAATGGAAAAAAAGGTTTGAAAGACAGAGGGAGCATGTATTGGAGTAGGTTTGCTTTTCCAATTCTGGTTTCAGTACTCTACTGCCATCTTGTTAAATCACCTTAGCTTTGGGCTAAGTTGCTTTTAGAAATTGCAGAGCTGAGCAGACACATTTCAATTATAGCTTATCATCTGTGCAGTCCTGCTCTAATAGGCTCTGCAGTGAGTGCTTAAAGGAAAAAACCTATAACAGTTTTAGAAGAAGGCCATTAAAAGTCCTATTAGAGAAATCTGGTTCACCACAACACTCACACTATTTTTTAACATGGTGCATGTACCTTTATTTGAACCATTACCGTCTGATATATAGGCCTACATAGCACCTTATTCCTGTTCCTTCATTCTAAGTGAACATTATTTAGGAAGGAAGGACTTTGGAATGATGTTGCGTTTACTTTTAACGAAATTAGCAGTCTGTATTTTTAACATTGCAAACTATATGAGGAGCCTACAGCTCTTGCAGCATCTAGTAATTATGTTTGTCTTTCTGTCAACTATTTTTATAATAGCAATATCATTTTTGTGTTTTGCTATTGAGCGGATCTTCAATATCACTCAAAAACTTGTGCTTCCTCTCTAAAGATGAAGTATTGGTTTCTCAGCTTTCACAGCATGGGGGCTTCTTGACGTCACTCATTATGTTGCATCATATCCCTAAATTGCATCATTCACCCCACTGTAAATGAGAGAATATTCGTGTGTGTTTGAGTCACAGCTGGCTCCAAAACGCACACGCTGAGTTTTCACTTTCAATTAGTGTTACACTGCTATACACAAGCAGGTGATGAGTGATATATATAATACAACAATACTTGTATGTCTTAGGGCCGTTATTATCAACTAATTGTTATTACTAATTAAGATTCTGAACATTTATATGCATTTATATGTGTGACCAGACAATTCAGTTTGTCTTGATATGACATGATATTTACTATTACTTATCTGTATATGAATTTTTTGGGCAATATCTTAATAATTCTGAGAACATTAGCAATTGCCATGCTGTGCCCCATTTTAGTCAATTAATTACATGGGGGATGTTTTTAGTCCCCCAAGAATTTCTTTTGTCACATACAGCCCATTCTGTGAGCTTTAATTACTCATAACTTTTTAAAATCTTGTCGTAACCAGACTAGGCCAGATACATCAGCAGGGTTAAGCCCAAACATGAATAAACCACTTTAGAGCTAGCTAGACAGTATACAAAGTTGTAACTGCTCAAGTCTTCTTAATGATGTGGTCACACAACAGAGACAAACTGCAAATGATACTAAAACACATTTTAAAATTCATTATTCTTTTCAGATTTGGATATTGACATTGTTGCTATCATACATTCATCTTGATGCATGTTGCTGTTCATGTTCACTTTGTCTCTGTTTAGTCTTACTTTGACTCAAAATAGCCTTAAGTGGTCCCTATTATTTTGTCTATTTCCTCTGTACCTCTTCCTCTCTTTCTTCGACGTGTCTCCAGGTCCACTCATTTGTCACCATTTATTTCGCTCTTTGTGTAGGTGCTGCTGCCGCTGGGCCACATTTGCTGACTGTGGTACAAAGGCTGTTTACCTCCAGTATAACTCACCGTATTTGCCTCCTGCGTCTAGTTTTTCCACGATGCTTTTGTGGCTGCCTCTCCTCTGGGTGTCTTCTTACCTTGCCCCGCTCCACAGATCTTGAATAGGAGATGAAAAAGGGCCAGGACCGCCCGATGTCATAGTATTGAGCGTGACGCAGAGGCTTACGTCCTACACAGCTGGTTCTTTCTACTTCTTCTTTCTGTTCAAGCAGTTTTCATAAAATGGTTATGAAAAGTACGCCATTAATTTAACTTAAAACATATCAAATGTATACTTTTTAATTTATGCTATTATTAGCTGTAAAACCTGATTATTTTTTTGCATCATCAGGATAACTAATTACTATCCAAATCAAATGAATATGCAAATTCTGGTGATTTGCTGTGACAGTAGTAGATTTTATATTTGTTGTATTTGTAAGTATTAAACTACTAGTTGTAACTTATATTTCTACTATACTAGTAATACTCCTTATCAGTCCCTTTTTGATATTCATCAAGATTAAAATGAACAGTTAGTGTAGTGACTTGGCACTAAAAATCCTAAAACTCACTCTATCTCTGTCTCTCTCTCACAGTGTCCCCGGCGCCCCTCAGAGAACAAAATAACCTGCTGTTTTCAATTAAATGTTTCACACAGGCGGCTGCGGATGCAATTATTACCCCATAAGAACTGCCTGCAGCATGAGCACTGTCTGTCTGACGAAGACAATGACCCTGATTTTTAGGAACATTTAAACAGTATATATATATATATATATATATATATATATATATATATATATATATATATATATAATTTGTAAAATTTTAAGAGGGAGAATTATCTTTTATCGAGAGAAGCTTTAGGGCACCATGTAAAATCCAGAAATGGCACATGGTCAGGGAGTGTAAAACGTGTTGCGATTGTTTAAGAAAATCCTATTATTGTTTATTATACTTCTTTCAAGTTTCATATTGCTTTGTGCTCAGGCTGTATTAGAACTTTGCCACAATTGTGTTGGAGCACTTAAACCCAATGTGCTCTTATTGGATACGTCTTTGGATAGTCTTTGTATGGTTATATAAATGCGTTTCCTCTTATGCACAGAGGAGACTGCCAAATTCAGCAGAATATCATGCCAAGAAACATCTCCTTATAAGAACAAAGCTGCACCCTACATTTAAGGGAATACATTAATCTCAAAAATAGCACAGTGAAAAAATATACAATGTAACAATTCCAGAAGTTAATTTTGAAGAAGGTGTAGACAATAAGCTTAAAATGCAAGGTAAAATAAAAGTATTTGTCTCTACAACATTGTAAAAGTGTGTCGAAAGGGAGAAAAGCCTGTTTTTTATGTTTCATGGTTATTACCTATAATAATATTTTATAAAAATGCAGTGTACAGTGCTTCAACAATTTTTAGTTGATCATTTGTTAAGGCTGCCAGTCAAATTATTTAATAAACTACCAACTTTCATTTGAGCTATTTTTGTTATACAGTATACATTATGTTTACCCTTAGTTGTTCATTTTCAGATAAATATTTGATTCTCTGCTAAGAGAACAGATCTCCTTTGTTTTCACCTTGAGATGAAGTTTCAGTTTCACACTCTCAGTGTTATACCAGCAGCTGCAGACTCTGGCTGTTAAATTCTACTTCACAAAGGCCCCTCCATCTTCCTGTGTTATTCTCTGCCCCTGTTGTTTCTGTGAGAGGACTGTATTTGAAAACCATGAGCTGAGCAGCTCCATACAAGAGACAGTAGAAGGAGAAGGATTTATGAGTGCACCTCCAGAGTGACCATCCATATGCAGGGTGGGTCTGTGGGTGTGTGGTGTATCAGACCAGGATAATGGAACAGTTTGGAGGAAAAAGCATTAACACACACATTAGATTTAATTAAAGCAGTAAACATGGGGCATTTTGCTGTATGGTTACAATACATTGCCTGCCTCCTGGTATGGATGGCCTAGGTCAGTGGCTTTCAAACTGTGGTATGCAGGATCCTTCTGCTGCAGTTCAAAATTTTGAGATTGTACACTTTCTCTCAAATTAGGTTTTAGAGGCAAAATATTTTAAGAACTTTAAAAAAAACTTTAAAAAAAAAACAACAAAAAAAACTCAAGTTTGGCTGTGAAAGTTGTTTACTTGTGTTCAGTTTCTTTTAAATGTTCTTGTATTGCTTAACTGACATCAGCATATGTTATGCTGCTTTTTAGATGTCCTCTTTCATCCAAAATGGCTTTACTTTTGCATGTCTAAAAATCTGCTCACACGTCTAGGCTTAGTTCTGATCCAGCAGCTCTGACGGTGGTGAAAAGCATATATTGCATAAGAGTGTCAGGAGTTGTGTGTTTATGATG